AGGAAGCCGGTCACAGATATGAAAGATTAACATTAAAGACATCAAAATAACACATCAGACTTTCTTAAATGAATAATCTACAGTATTTATCAAAGGAACTACTTTTTGCAGTTCTACTTTAACTGAATAAGAGAAACATTTCCCATGGTAAAGAAATATGGGCTCTTTGGTTTTTTGTGGATTATTTAGACCACACCGAACTTACTGTGGGTTGAATGCTTTTTAGGTCCATATACAATACCCGTTATTATTAAACACATGGAGGCAGGAAAATCTTTCTTTTTGACAAATGTAGTCTGGGGGTAAATAAAAAACCAAAACGGACTTACACCACTAGATGTAAGGAGAGAAAATGTTCTTATTAATCCGCACCCTTAACTACAGTCAGCCTTTTCGGGGAGATCGTTCTGTTGCTTAGCTTCCTGGTGCTAGCGAGCTACCGCTACGGATTATCAAGGATGTTTTTTCAAGACAACAAAGTGGAGGAGAGCTCCTCTCCTGTCACCGACTGAGAGCCTCAGTGAGTCTAAAGGGACTCTCTCAGTGTTATCTCAGTGGATCTCAAATGTTTTGGTCCCCGATTAATGTAACCAAATATTTTCCGACGGACACACGTTTATATGCATCATTATAGTTAACTAAAAAATAAGAGAATAATTAAAAACAGGTTGAAATACTATACTGACAGTTAAAAAAGAACCGCTTAAAAGGGAGGTGATTTGTAAATATCCATCAAAGAAAAAATAATCTGCCTTTACAGTTCTGTTTCATATGGTGTTGAGAGATTGTATCCATAGACTCTCCTTAATTTTGGCTTCTCAAAGTGCACCAGATTCATGCTTTTAACTTTCAATATTTAAAATCTTCCCGCCTTTCACCCCGGACCCCCCTATGTACCAGGTCCCACACACCACACTATAAAAAAGTTTGGCGGCGACCAGGTGGACCCAAAAACGGCGTCGCAGTTAACATCGCAGTTGCTACACACACAAGCGTCAGCACGCTGATGGCTGCGTTGCAAACTACAGATTTTTTTAATATTTTTTTGGATGTTTACTCTTTTTAACTTTTGAAATGCAAACTCTATGCAATATACGCCTTGTATATCTCGAATGATTCGTAAACTTATCATCTACATACAAACTACCCAGACTAAAATAAAAGACTTGTATTCTGTCATCGCTCTGACGGTCCCTCACCGCGACAAGTTTTCGCGGCTGTCTGTTTAATTGTCTGTTGACTTACATCCGGATCCGTCAATGATGGAGCACAAGAAGACGATACAAAAAGGCAGCTTTCTTAAACGCTTGGCTTCACAAAGAGCGTGTTAGAAAAATGGAGAGGCCAGCGGTCCCTCAGTGTGTTCTTAATTGTGGAGAGGCTGCCTCAGTAACGACCCAAGCTTAAAATGAATTCAACTTCCCGGCCCAGGTATCCTCCAAACAAAGCATCCTCATGCACTCGGCCCACAATCCGACAGGAGTTTTTCTCATCTGCAACAGAGGAGTCTCTTCGAGCAGCTGTTTTGACGGCCGGAAAAGTTAAGTCCACTCGTTTTAATCATTTGTTTTGCTGTGTTTGTGAGTTTGCTCAGGGTCAGGTCTGTGAAATTGTTTATCGCTTACATCGCAAAGTTGGATGGAAGTGCAGCTCGAGCCCCGGAGCGAACGCAGCTGCGCGCTCTCGCGCGTCCTCTACTCGATCCGCGAGTCCACTACACTTCTGACCGCCGGCACAGAGCGGTGTTTAACCTTTTACTAGCCCTAAACTGTTTTTAAAACGGCCGGGATGAAAACAGAGAGAGAAACAATAACCACCAGCGCAAGATTAGACGGGGACAGCGCCAGTATGCAGAAGAAAGCGCCGAGAAGTTCGCCGCAAACGACGTGACTGCTGCAAGTGTGATGCACATAGGAATCCACTCATGGGGGTTTATCTCCCTATCTTCTAAGTTCAAGAGTGTGCGTCTCTCTAAATTCTGAGAGCCATATTGATTGTCCACGTTCAGAATATGCTATCGTACTTTCCCCTCCAACACCGCTGTCCTTGCAGCACTCAAGATAGCGTGCGTGCTTGCGCTTTAGATCGTCTTCGCTCTGCCTTCCTGCTCCAAACTGTACGCTCTGCACTCAGCATATCCATTTCTGTTACAGGATGTGTTACAGCTTAAAACCTTCTCCCTCCTGCACGTCTGTTTCCTGTGCGCTCGTGAAATGTCTGCTCTCAGATTTCTTCTGTCGACGCTTGGATCTTTTGTGCAACAACCCTGATCAAAATCGCCTTTGTGGGGATTCCGCCAGCAGTATCTGAGTATGTAAAGTCGCTTTGGATAAAAGCGTCGTAAAAAAGTAGCACATGCAATGTAATGCGCTATAAATGCCCGGTTGCCAGGTCCCCACATTGGGTATACAGCGTACGCCGGCTTGGTGTATAAAATATCACCCAATAACACCAGCAATGTTAATGATAATATCTTCTCTGTTATTTTCAGGCATTCAAAGGGAACAGAGGGGCACTGAGGGCCATCTCATCAAAGGTCAAGCCCTCCACATAAAAAAAGTGTAAATCAGTCTGCCAAGTGTTGGAGTTTAATTTGTCTCCCAGAGTGTTTTAGACAACAGCTCCGTTCATATTAAAAGTGTTTAAAAATGTGTGTACGATAGTTTCCTGATTTAGTGCACAAAACTTAATGGTTGCACTTCTGATTACATTTAAATTTGGTTTCACCTGTGATACTGTATAACACTTGACTGCACTTCATATAGTTAGTGTTTACACCATGTTGGTGTCTTTGGTTCATCTTACAATAGTTTACAAATGGTGTCGTACAGTTTTCTGAGCTAGCGATAAACCTTAATATTGCACTTTTGATATTGTATAATTGAAATTTGATTTTACTGTATATACTTGACTGCACGTCATGTTTCGTCTTTCTGCTTTGGGATCCTTATTTTTTTCTGGTACAAGCTCAAAGGGATATGGTTGTTATTGGTGAGATAACCTAATTGTGCGATGCACTTTTATGAATTAAATAAATATTTTCATTTGCATTTTATATTCATGGTGTGTTGCATTCTTTGCTTTATAAATGTAGGATATTATGGAAAATCATGAGCATTTTTTTTAGCTTCGGGTCCCTTAGGACCACACAGAGTTCTGTTTTTGGGTCTCAATGCTGAAAAAGTTTGGTGAACCTGGATTCTTAAGGTATAACTATACTATTCGTATTGCGCATTAATTTGGCCTCTCAGTGATGGAGTTAAGGATATGCTTGGTTTATATTTTTGATCAGGATTTAATCCTGTTAAACACCCACCATAAAATTCAATTTCAAGTGCGCGTACTTCCATCTATGTAACTATAGCCTAATAAATCAGGCCATATCTTGCCTCTAAAACGATGCACGTGAAATCTGAGTCCATGCATTGTATCTTCAAGGCTGGATTATTGTAACTCCTTTATTTATTCAGGGGTACTCTTAAGAAGTCCGTCAGAGTCGCCGCTTTCAGCCTGATTCTAAAATGCTGCAGCTGTGTACTAACCAGAGTTAGGAACAGGGACCACATTCTCCTGTTCTGGCTGCCTTAAGCATGGCTCCCTATAGAAACAGGATAGAATTTAAAATTCTTCTTCCTCGGCCTACAAAGCCTTATAGGGCAGGCGCATCTTACCTTAAAGGAACTCATTAGCTACCCTCTGTCCTACTAGGGCAGGGGATCTGCAACCTTTTTGACCAAAAGAGCCATTTTGCTCCTTTTTCCAAAACATTTTTTTGTCTGGAGCCGCAAAACATATTTCATAGCTAATACACAGGCCTACTTTAAAATAAATTAAACAGCACTTGGGGAGTCCTCTGCACATTTGAAAGAAAAACATATATTATTAAAATGGGCCCACTTTGAAATAAATAAAACATATAGCTGCACCCTAAAAAGAGTTAAAGGTAGGGTAGGTAAGAATGGAGAAACCAGCTCGAGTGCGCTAGAATTTGAAAATACACAACCGGAAAAAATATGCCTCTTCCTTACAGAGTCCCTCCTCCAACAGACACGAACGCGCACATGACTGTTTACGGCATGTCTTCTCTACACATGTTGCATGAATAAGGAATAATTGATTATAATAGTGACTCGTGGTTGCAGCCATCGTAAATTAAACATTAACACCCAAAATATTTTAATTTTTTTTTTTGGGAACAATTGTGTGATTTCAGAAGAGGCTCGTCACAAAAAAAAAAATCCCCAAAACAACCAAACATTGTTAAAAGTCCTTAGAAACAGTTTAATTGAAATATGTAGCAGCATTTTATTTTAAAAAGTCAAATAAACATTTTGGTGGTGGGGAGAAAAACCGCAGGTTAGGATAAAAATAAAAGTTAAATACAATCAATACTTTAGCTTCTGAAGCCTGGCTGGTTCACTCGTCCATTTAGGTAGCCAAGCTACTGGTCCCTAAGCAAAACGACAACATGGCAAGAGTTCATCCAAAACACATTGCATCACACACACACACACACACACACGCAAACACTCTCCATCATGCAAAGCCCACTTTTATAGCAGCACAGAGGGACAAATATGACCCTAGGAAAAGTTTTTGGGCAAATGAGGCCACTGATTAAAAACAGCAATCATCCCCCCCCCACACCCCAAACACACTTAATAAAGTAGAAAAATGTCCATTCAATTTGGCCTCTGCATAGGAAAAAAAATTGGCAACCAACAAATGTGTAGGTGTGGTTGTAATTCACGTAAGCATTTGGGTGCAATGCTGTTGAAAATCTTCTTGAGCCATCGCATCCGTAACAGATCATTTGCTCTTTGACTGAAGGGTTAAATAATCCTGCAGGGATAAAAACTGTCCACTGGGTGGCAGTGTTTTGTCAAAGTCACTGTGTGCTCCCAACATTTAAAAGCAACTTAATCCATGTAGTTGGCGTGAGTTAAAAAGGAAAAAATACAAATTCCATGAATGTTTTCCCACTGAGAATCCATCATTGCTGTTCAGAGTCAACACAACAGAGGTGCTTTTCTTCTCCATTCAGCCAGAAGTTAGACACATTTATTTCGGATTTGCCGTCGTCTGGTCAGTTTCAGTGATGGCGTTGCTGCTTTGGACAGCGTCGTTGTGGGGATGGAGTTTGAATCCTGGTTTGATCTTCAGCACCGCAGCGTCCACCGGGACCAGCTCTTCAGTTTTCTCACTGCTCTGCGGGGGGGTCAGGACACCCGAGGGTACAGGACAGTTGCCGTGACGCTGCAACTCCACATTCTGGTAGGAGTAGGCCTTGTCCTGTAGACAGCAAATACAAGGATTACATTTACTGTGACTAGAGAACACTTCTTCAGGATGAAATTGGATATTTTTTAAGAAATCCAGCTCTCTAAAATCAGTCATTCCGAGATCAAATATGGATTTCCTTTTTTTTTTTTTTAAGCAAGCAAAGCCCCAAAGACTTTGCTTTCTGAATGTGAAACTATTATCGCCATATTCAGACGATAAATACATTTTGAAGCTTGTAAAGGCAGCATGATAACTACAGCATGACTTTCACTGATGAGCATTTATAGAACAACAGTGTGTCATCACCAATGCTACTAGCTTTAAAATGATTGATGATAGTCAATACAATGGATGGATGTCTGAATAATAAGCTGCCGACTGTTGAACATTATGAGGGGGGCAGCCCCTAGTTTCTCCCTGCCTGTGAAACCTTCTAACATTGAAAAACTTTCTCTTACCAGCCATGTGATGTAGGAGGCGTGGGTCTGGATGTTGTGCATGTCATCTGCAGAGATTCCTGTGAATGTTCTCATAGACGAACCACCGACCTCCTGCAGCGCAATGGCGAACGGCACCATCCACCTCACACACTCCTCCACCTCCACCCTCTTCAGAGCTGCAAGCACAGAAGGATGAAGTGAGGACATGATAAAGTATGCTTTAGGATCACTTTTGCTCAAGAAGAGTAAAGCCAGAGGAGTTCAGGAGGAGCTTCTTTTTTTACCTGAGACGTTTTCCACCAGCTCCAGAGAGGAGAAATGAAACAGGGCTGAGGCAGCGAGGATGCCGTTGGAGAACTCGAGGCAATGAACATCGAGAATACACAGGTCCAATAACTAGAGGGAAAAATAGAAACATCAGAGCCTGCCTCACAATGATACTGAACCATCACATTTGCTCTTTAAAGCTACACTGCAGAGCTGGGGACCCCGAGGGGCAGCAACCCATAGAGGGACAATAACCGATTAGATGTACAGTATGAGAGAGTCCATGGATGTGATTTAGAAAGAGATCAACTGTAGGATGATCCAAAGAACACATGAAGCGACTTCTGAATGAGTTTACCATCCAGGCAGGTCAGTGATGCCTTGAAGCCAAATGATGACAGATTCATCGACAATGACTGATTTTCTTTCAATTAAGTTTGCATTTCAATCTTAAGCTCTTTGAAAAAAATGTTTCAAAACACAAGTATTTTTATTACATGAATCCAACCATATTCCTAATCAAATAAACAAGGGGAACTGCATGTTCATTTCAGGTCACTGTCCATGCCAGTTGAAGCTGTGAAGCATCATTGTCAAACATTACAGGTGAGAACAGCATGGTCCGCCATAAAAAAAAAAAAATACATTTCAAAGAAGGCAGAGTTAATGTACTTGAACAAAAATACATCCATGTATAGTATATATATTTTTAAAAGCACTTGGAAGCCAATGCACCAGCACTTTTCTTGTTGTTCTGAGATTTTATTTGTATGCTTTCTTTCACTTATTTTAAGTCGCTTTCAATAAAAGCAACAGCTAAATTCAATGTAATGTAATAATGCTTACAAGAAACACACACTAAGCCACTCCGTGGCACTACCAGAATTGAAATATTTGTCAAACTAAAAGATAGACAAAGCTTTAAGTGAGTGTGAACACTTCTGTCCTCTTTCTGTATTATTGAAATACCCACTTGCTAGATTAACTTGAAATGAAAAAAACACAAACAGCATACCTGTGCGATTTGTGTGAAGGTTTTCTGGGGGTATTTGGGGATGAGCAGCTCGTCGGTGTCCTTCAGGTAAGCCACCTGCATGTACACATTGAGCCAGGAGATGGGAGTCTGTGGGCTGAGGCTCCAGTTCAGCTCCTGGGGAAGAACAGAACGAGAGGACAACCTGCCGTGTTAACATTCAACTGGATTGACCTAGGTTCAAATACTTTTGATTATTCATTATATTTTTGGTTTAAAAACTGTGTGCTTGCCAGTTTTCTAAAGTTTCGTTTTTATACATTTAGCCGTTTTTGTAAATGCCAGCTATATCTCAAAGGTATGTAGCTCCAAAAATATACATAACAAATTGGGATGTGTTAACCCTAATGTCACAATCTTTCACATTTGGGAATTCAGTTGAATCCTTTTACACTACCAACAGAAAATGACCTCCGGTTGGTTAAATGGCCTTTGATTTTCTACAATATTCATGTCATCTTCTTAGTCTAACATACTAGCCTGTTCCAGTTCTGTAATTTAACATCACACGAGTTGAGGAAGCTTCGTGCTTTTCCTATTTTGGGTAGTCATTTATTATAGACAAAACTTTTTTTTTTTAAACGTATTTATTTTTTAAACCATATTATGTCAGTAGAGTTTTCTTAACCCTCCCGTTATATTCGTTTTTCTATAACAGCAATAATATTCCCAGGTCTACTTGACCCAGTGCATGTTTAATTATCCAAAAATGGTCAGAAACCCCAAAATACAGATTTTTTGTTTGTACCTTTTATTACTATCAATTAAATCAATATTTAGTGCAATTGTGTTATTCACCTCACAGATCATGGGCCCATTGGAATAAGTCACTTGTTTTTCACAAAACATATACATTCAAACACATTTCTCTATTATTTGTTTTACATAGGAAAAACCTTGATATAAAATACCTTTTTGCACAACATGAACATTTCTAATTACTTTTTTTCCTATCAGTTAATGTTGATAAATAGAGACGACACTTCTTCTCTTCAGGGTCAAATTCACCCGTTCACTTAGAATCAAGCCAAATGAGTCTTAAGGATTTGTATTGAAAGTATTTTATTTACATTTATATATATATATATTAGGGCCGGGACTCGATTAAAAAAATTAATCTAATTAATTAGAGGTTTTGTAATTAATTAATCGAATTAATTTTTTTAATCGAGTCCCGGCCCTAATATATATATATATAAATGTAAATAAAATACTTTCNTCTATGTGTGCACGTGCCTGGCGCCAGATCTGGGGGGCGCTGCGGTGGTAGCTCTGGGAGGGGAAAAAACATTTTTGACTGTTGGTGCTCATCCTAATTTTCGGCCTTGATGTAACAACATTCATAATTAAGTAAATGTAACACCCTTTTCACCCCGGTTACACTTTTCATTTGCCCTGTACGATGGGCGCTGTAAGTGATGAAAGTGGGGGGTGTTGGCTTATCAGGCGCCCGCAGCTCAGAGCCAAAGTGCGAGCGTGGGAGCGAGAGAGGGAGAGATAGAGAGGGCGCACCGGTACCAGCGCTGTTGTTATTAGAATCTGGTGCTAGCTCACATTATGCTGAGCCCACGTGCCTTAGCACCGCTGCTATGACTCCATCCTAGGGGAAGCACTGGTGGGTATAAGCAGGAATGGAATTGAATCACAGTCTTTAGCCAAGGTAGTTATTGTAATATAAGTTGATCTGAAAATGAATGTCAAACCGGGAAATGAGTTACGACTTAACCACTTCCGGTTCCTTTGTCTCGAAGTCAAAAAATGTTTGAATGTGTTTTTGGTTAATTGTCTTAAAATGAAACATGTGGTTAACATAAGCTTTAGAGATTTAAGCTTTGGCCGACAGCCTACCGATTCAACATGTCGAATCGGTGGCGGAAAGTGTCGGCACGGCCGAAAAGACACGACGGTGCAGTACACACCAATCTGAGTAGGGCGACACGACGCTCATCGACGGCCCGACATCTATCGATGCCGGAAATCGGCTCGGTGTGTAAGGACCTTAACACCACAGATACTGATAGCTAGTAAATATCTTGCAGGAGATAATCTGCTAACTAAAACCCTTCAGAAATATTCATAAAGTTGCTCTTTATGTTCCCTTAGTTCACATTATTCTGGCATGCGCTCGGACAACAATGTGTTCTTCAAAAGCAGCTAATGATCCTGCTAACGATCCTCTCTGCTCCTAACAATCCCAACGTTGCTTTTGTTGCTCTTTGGAAATCTTTTGTGGATTCTTCTAAGCTACTATCAATCAGAAGTACAAAAAAGTAAAGGCTCTTTTATCTTGTGCAAAGCCTAAACATTTTACTCTACAAGTACAATAGTTTTGTCCTTTCCTAATATTAATCTACTTCTATTTACCCATGAGTTTTCCTGCAGAGTAGGCAAGAGCTCTAAGATTTATCTACTGAACTCTCTTACACCACAACCCCTTTCCTCTGTCCTAAAAATGCCTCGGACTGAACCACACCCTACTGACCCCATCTCTCTCCAGATGGCGGCACAGAGCGGCACCAGAGGGCCATATTAGCAGCAGTAGGCAGCTGCGACGTAAACTCTAGAAAGTTGATCCCGTGCCGCTGTAAAGGGACTCTGACTCAGAAAGAGGTTTGCTAGGGGAGAAAATAATAAAAGGATAAGGGATGCAAGAGTGTACAAGAGAACAGTACATGAAGGGAGTGAGGTGAGGACACAGCCAACAGTTCTTGAGATGAAAACAGGAAAGAACGGACGAGACTGCAACAAAAATGAAAACTGCAAGGGCATAGAAGGCAGAGAACGATAAAAAGCTGCATCTAAAAACTGCGAGGCTATTCACAGGATCATGGGCGCTCCCCGGACAGTCATGTAGCTGGGCTACAGACGGAGCGGGGTGATGGGGTCAGCAGTTTAGCACCGCGTAACACTCGGGAGACGAGGAATAATAGACATGCAATGGAGATGAGATGGGGAACAAAAGTTTAGCAAAGATGGGCTTTATTACTGATGGACGATAGCACAGGCTCCGGCTTGTGTAGGAGAGAAGTCGTGTGATGCTGCTATTGCTTTGGGAGACAATTAAATTGAAATGAAGACTTGTTTGGGAGAAGTAAGCCTACACAGCTCGCAGGTTTTTGATTAAACACAAGTTACTCCTGCTGCACTTTAAGACAGGTCTTATATCAAACCACAGTGGTGTGAGAAAACAATCTAAAAAGAGAGACTTAGGTGGATTTCATGTGCTGTGAAAACCACTTGGATTACACACATTAGTGTTGGGGAAATTGGCATGTACCTATCAGAGGGATAGCAGTTTCGATCTCCGGCCCCTGAAGTCAATATGTTGAAGTGTCCTTGGGCAAGAAGATTTATCGTGAATTGCTCCTGTAGGACCGTTTACGATGTTGATGTGTTTTAAGTTGCTTTGGCTAAAAGCGTTAGCTAATTAACATGTAATGTAAAAAAGATGCAATGTGTTAAAGCAGTCACAACAATATTTCTTGTTTGGCTGGTTTAACGGTTTACCCCCTAACATCACTGCCATTCATTTTATGTCCTACAGCATTTGCAATATTTCCTCCAGGCATTTTTGTAAGCAGCAGGGAAAAAGGATAGGTTGTATTTGGGTAGTGTGCAATGCTAATAATAATATTACAAATGATGATGGATAAGTTGGCCCTAAACGTCCTACGAGAATACAAAGGGATTTTCTTTTTTACTTTAAACGTATGTACTCCCTTTATTCTTGCTCTCTGGTAGCATAATCTGTCCTATGTCCTGTTTGTAGCTCTGCACAAGGACGACGTTAGTCTCGAGCCATGGTACTCATGTTGTCCTTTATGTGGTTGTCATGACTATATAAGTGATCGACGACCTGTCACTGTTCCAGTTGCTCATCCTAGAAGTGTAAAGAAAGTGAACGACTGTTTCGTTCGAGTTCATTGGAGAGGACAGCTCCGCAGTCAGTCGAGTAACTGCAGACTTCATGACATTTGAGAAAATTGTGAAGCAGCCGTGGATACGATGGAAACACTAAAGTGTGGTCTGCTGCTTAACAACATGAATTGATGTTTTATATCTCAAGACAGTTTAATCGCCATCAAAGTCTGTATGTCAGTGTAACGGAGGTGATCTTTGGGGCCATAGATCTCGGCCTCCGTTACGGATTGTCTAGCGTCCTTCTGTGGTTTTATTTTGAAAAGTGTTCCCCTTCCCGTCTTGTCTGTTGCTGCTGATTGTGTTCACCTGGTGCCCTGTGTTGTCCCCTCCCCCTTCACCTGT